TGTCGAGCTCTAACCAACTGAGCTACAGGGAGACAGTTGTCGAGCTCTAACCAACTGATCTACAGAGAGACAGTTGTCGAGCTCTAACCAACTGATCTACAGAGAGACAGTTGTCGAGCTCTAACCAACTGAGCTACAGAGAGACAGTTGTCGAGTCTAACCAACTGAGCTACAGAGAGACAGTTGTCGAGCTCTAACCAACTGAGCTACAGAGACAGTTGTCGAGCTCTAACCAACTGAGCTACAGAGAGACAGTTGTCGAGCTCTAACCAACTGAGCTACAGAGAGACAGTTGTCGAGCTCTAACCAGCTGAGCTACAGAGAGACAGTTGTTGAGCTCTAACCAACTGAGCTACAGAGAGACAGTTGTCGAGCTCTAACCAACTGAGCTACAGAGAGACAGTTGTCGAGCTCTAACCAACTGAGCTACAGAAGACAGTTGTCAACCTCTAACCAACTGAGCTACAGAGAGACAGTTGTCAAGCTCTAACCAACTGAGCTACAGAAGACAGTTGTCAACCTCTAACCAACTGAGCTACAGAGAGACAGTTGTCAAGGTCTAACCAACTGAGCTACAGAAGACAGTTGTCAACCTCTAACCAACTGAGCTACAGAGAGACAGTTGTCAAGCTCTAACCAACTGAGCTACAGAAGACAGTTGTCAACCTCTAACCAACTGAGCTACAGAGAGACAGTTGTCGAGCTCTAACCAACTGAGCTACAGAAGACAGTTGTCAAGCTCTAACCAACTGAGCTACAGAGAGACAGTTGTCGAGCTCTAACCAACTGAGCTACAGAGAGACAGTTGTCAAGCTCTAACCAACTGAGCTACAGAGAGACAGTTGTCGAGCTCTAACCAACTGAGCTACAGAGAGACAGTTGTCGAGCTCTAACCAACTGAGCTACAGAGAGACAGTTGTCGAGCTCTAACCAACTGAGCTACAGAGAGACAGTTGTCGAGCTCTAACCAACTGAGCTACAGAGAGACAGTTGTCGAGCTCTAACCAACTGAGCTACAGAGAGACAGTTGTCGAGCTCTAACCAACTGAGCTACAGAGAAACAGTTGTCGAGCTCTAACCAACTGAGCTGCAGAGAGACAGTTGTCCAGCTCTAACCAACTGAGCTACAGAGAGACAGTTGTCGAGCTCTAACCAGCTGAGCTACAGAGAGACAGTTGTCGAGCTCTAACCAGCTGAGCTACAGAGAGACAGTTGTCGAGCTCTAACCAGCTGAGCTACAGAGAGACAGTTGTCGAGCTCTAACCAACTGAGCTACAGAGAGACGGTTGTCGAGCTCTAACCAACTGAGCTACAGAGAGACAGTTGTCGAGCTCTAACCAACTGAGCTACATGAGAGACAGTTGTCGAGCTCTAACCAACTGAGCTACAGAGAGACAGTTGTCGAGCTCTAACCAACTGAGCTACAGAGAGACAGTTGTCGAGCTCTAACCAACTGAGCTACAGAGAGACAGTTGTCGAGCTCTAACCAACTGAGCTACAGAGAGACAGTTGTCGAACTCTAACCAACTGAGCTACAGAGAGACAGTTGTCGAGCTCTAACCAACTGAGCTACAGAGAGACAGTTGTCGAGCTCTAACCAACTGAGCTA